GGAGTGGGGGGCTTCGCCTCCTGTCTCCTGGACTTTTTCCGCTGGATTTGGGGGTGACGGCCCCTGGTGTGCTGTGACAGCTGCTGGGGGGATGTCACCAAATTTCCCCGGGGGCGGGGCCTGGGCCGCGCCGCCTCCCCTTGCCTTGGGGGAGGGGCGTGGGGAGGCCTGGGGGTGGCTGGAAACAGAGAGGAGGCTTGGGAGAGGGCTGCAGGGAGCAAGGGCAGCTCCTGCCCTGCCCCCAGTTTAAATTTTGCAACGTGATTCCATGGTGGTCACTGAGGGGGTTTAGGGAACTTCTATTCAGACTCCCCCTCCCTTGTTCGTAAGATTCCCCACAGGCTCTGGGAGGGGGTCCCAGGTTCCCCCCTGGTCCTGACTCCCCTACCTTCACCTCCAGAGTCAGAGAGGGACTCAGGTTGGGGAGGGAGACACCCCCCGCCCATTGCTAAGCCCAGAGCCCCAGGACAACTTGAAGGGGCTCGTATTTAAATCCGTTCTCACGCCCCCACTTGTTCAGCTGCTGACTCCTCTCCCTGCTGTCCTGTGTGTCCCCCTGTCTGTCGGTCCCTGCCTCTTCCCACCACCTGCCACCACCCAGGGCTCTGTCTAGGCCTGCGGGGCCTGCCCTGGCAACCGTCCCACCCCCTTTTGCTGTTGGAGAATGAACCAGCCCCCAAGGATGGCACCCGTGGGCACAGACAAGGAGCTCAGCGACCTCCTGGACTTCAGCATGGTAAGGGGGACCCCGGGGCCCCCCTCGGCCGAGACCTCTGGGTCATCCCCCAGGGCCTATGGGAAGGGTGTTACGGGGAAGGCGTGTCTGCTGAAACCGCTACCAATAACTGATGTTCAAACCCTTTGGGGTGAGAAGGTCCCCAGATGGGCTTGGAGGGGTTTGAGTACCCCACAGTGGTGTCTGCAGAATCAGGGTACTCGGGCCTTGTCCAGAGGCCCCTGTTCTCAGGTGTTTGCCCAGCCACAGACTGGGTCCAAGCTACTCCTTTAACAGGCGAGGAGATTGAGGCCCAGAGACAGAGGGGTGGCCCAGGGCCCAGGCCCCTCTGTGAGCTGGACCTGGAGGTCACTTGGCCTTGACCTTCTCGTACTGAGCGTGACCAGGGTCCTGTGCCGGTCACGGTGAAGCTGACCAGCGCCAGGGACCCTGAGTCACCAAAGCAGGCGTGTCCAGCCCACACAGGGATCCCGGTCGGGGAATCTCCGATGACCCACTTTTTCGGTCAGAGGCAATGACGAGGTTGTGAACTGGATAGCCAGGAGCCTGAGAGGGTGGGCAACAGGGAAGAGACCCCATGAGGTCTAAGTGGCAATCTGAGTTGAGCCAGCAAGCTCAACAAGTAGTAGCTGCTGGTATTATTACTGCCGTCGTCGTTGGAAGGGAGTCCCGTCCCCAGGATGGCCTGCTTTGGGGCTGCACAGGTAGCGGCTCACTGAGGACCAGCACCCAGGAAGCTCCCCGGTGCTGGGTGCCGGTGGGTGTCTGAGAACTCTGGGCCCAGAGGCCTGGGTCGGCCTGTTGGAGCTGTGGGGAGGCTCATCAGCATTTCCTTGCAGGACTGGGGAGACCTTTTTCTCCCCTTTTGGCCAATTCTCTGAATTCTGTCCCCCGCCTCCCCCACCCTAAGCACCCTTCGGGTATGAAACAGTGGGGGGGAGGGGTGCTTTCAGTCTGATTTTAACCCTCCCCTGGTGAGCACAAGGCCTAGGCCACAGAGATCTGCCAGAAACAAAAGTCCCCAAACCGAAACGCCACCAGTCACTCACCTCCCCCCACCATGAAAAACAGCTTCGAAACGGAGGGGCCGCAGCGCCGGAAGGGCCACGCCGGTATTTTTAAGCCCCATCTTATTTTTGTCTCCCCGGCTGAATAAGCAGGGGTGCAGCGTGGTTGTTTTGTCAAACTGACAAGTCACGGGCTGGTGGCCTGGAACAGACGGACTTGGGGGGGCGTGACACGGGTGCAGGTCTGTGAGACCCGGCCCCTTCGCATCTGCACCCTCCTCTCCCCCAGCACTGAGCCCCCAGTCACCGCCCTCTTCTGTCCAGAGGGTCTGGGTGTCTCCCTGCTCTAGCTGGGAAGCAGCCTCTGTTTCAGAGATGGGGAGACCGCTCTCCAGGCCACCCCCGCGCCACAGCTCACACCCCTTCTGTCGCTCCATAGCCGCCCCATCCCGCTTACCCCAGGAAGGCAGGATTGTTTATTTGGAAGGACTGCCTGGTTAGGCTGAAGCAGAAACACCCCTGTTAATGGATGTCTTTGTGGTGTTTGACGTGGAGGAGAAGGACCCCCATGAGGATAGATACAGAGAGAACGCAGTCGGGCCCTGACATCCCACCTCGGCTGTGCGGGCTCGAGGTCGCCCGGTGTGAATGGGACGTGAGCTGAGGTGCTGCCAGGACCCTGGGTCAGGAGGGAATTCGCTCCCCGGACAGTCCAGGCACGTGTCTCACAGTGTCCCAGGCCTGAGGGATGTGGCTTCTCAGGTGAGGGGCCACAGGGAGGGCTGGTGCTGTGACCTTGGCCTCTCGGTCTGGCTGTCTGCTACTGGTATGCTACCCCCTGAACCATGCCCATGGGGAGGATGCCCCTACCGTGCCCAACACTCCACGTGCTCAGAGCCACGGGTCCACTTCACAGCCGGGAAAACTGAGGCAGCCAGGCCAGGTTTAGGCTAATCACGAGGTCACAGAGCTCTTGGGACACAGTCTGGTTCCCTTGTGGTAAGTGCCACATCAGCTCAGTCCCTAGGGGCCTGGAGGCCAAAACAGATCAGAATGGATGGTGCTGCCCTTTGCCTCCTGCCTCCTTAGTACTCCTGCCTCATGGCTGACCCTCAGGACCCTCATCCCCTGGGAGTCCGTTTGCCTCTGGTCCGGGCGTTGGCCCCTCTCCCAACCCAGGCCTTAGTTTCCCCAGTGGGAGAGTGGGACCTTGGAGGGAGGCTTACCAGTGGACACAGAATCCTAGCTAAGCCCTCAGGAGAGTGGGACAGAGCCCAGTCACCTCCCTGGCTTGGCCTCCACCTTCCCATGAGTCCCTGTTCCTATTGCCTCTGGGCCTCGTTCTGCCCTGGAGAGTGGGGGCGTGGGCCTTGGGCTACACTTCACTTCCTGTCAGAGCAGGGCACGTTTAGGGGGCTGTCGACCACTCCGCAACCAGACCCCAACCCTGATTCCGGCCATGCTTATCACTGGGACCTTAAACCGAATCTTTAAAACCCAGCTCCTTGGAGCAGGATAGGGGTGTGTTTTGTTTTTTCTCTGGCAAAAAGGGTTTGTTGATGTTGGATTTTTCAGTTAATGCTGCTAAGCTGTTTAATCTTCAAGGATTTAGCAGTGGGTATGGGTGAGCCAGGCGGGAGGGAGGGTGTAGGGCCCATGCCTAACGCCTGGAAGAGCCCCTGAAGCAGCCCCCCAGCCCTTCCAGCTTCTCTCTGCACACCTGGGGGCAGCCCCTCTAGCTTCTTGTCAGACCCCTTGGCCCATCCTAGCTTTGCCTCCACCTGCTCCCTCTTGGAGCCTCAGTTTCCCATTCTGGCAAACAGCCAGGCCCGTGCCCATCCTTCTGGGGTGCTGTGAGGACCACAGAACAGCCACTAAGCCCAGATCCCAGTCCGTTACCCTCTCAGCATGGGGCATACCATCTCCCCATAGCCCCGCTTCACAGGGTTCCAGGTGCATCTGGAACAACCAGGACGCATCAGAACATCTCTCACTGGACCTTTACAAGGAGCTTCCCTGCTGACCTTTGACTGCGTGCACCTGTCTCCTCTGAAGAACCTCACTTTAAAAGAAAAAAATGCTGCTTACAACCTTGTATTTCTTCCAAGGGTGGTGGTGGTGGTTGTTAGGTGCCGTCGAGTCGGACGCAACTCATAGCGACCCCTCCTTGGGTTTCCGAGGCAATATCATTACGGAGGTAGATTGCCCAACCTTCTTCTGAGGAATGGCTGGTGGGTTTGACCCGTCAGCCTTCTGGTTAGCAGTCAAGTGCCTTAGGCACTATACTACCAGAGTGCCTTCTTCCAAGGGTAGATGGATTGTATTAATTGCCGTAAGGAGGCTCCCCCCAAAACAAACATATAGTATAAATGACAGTTTCAGAATTCTGCTAGACACTGGTGCCCTCCCAGGGTGGCTTCCTGTGGGCGGGTCCCAGGAGCCAGTCAGGGCCTACTGGCACTGGGGTGGGCTTTCTCCTGAGGGCTGGCAGATCTGAGCAGACGTTGACGTGGTGGGAGTCCTCGTGTGCTGTTTTGTGCCCTGGACCAGCGGGGTAGCCTCGTCCTTTCTCCCGCTCTTTCTCATCATGATAAGGTGATCCACCTTAGGCACTGGTAGTTCCGCGGTCGACACTCCCCTTCCGTGTTCGGGAGCTGAGTCGGTTCTTGACCGGCGCACCTCGTGTGAGCCACTGCCCATGTCTCGGCGGAGGCCTGCAGGGTTGCTGGATGGGTTTCAGTGCAGCATCAGGACTAAGACTGGGAGGACAGGGCTGGTGATTGACAGTGACTGGACAGGAAGCCCCGAGGAGCCCAGAGGCCTGAGCAGCAGCTGGTGGTGGGGTGTTCTTGGGACCAGGCGGCGTTTGGGGGTGGCGATGAGTCGGGGAGAGCTGACGGACAAACAGGCAGCAAAGCACTGACTGGCCCGCGTTTTTAAGGGGGCGTCTGTTGTGTTCACGTCCAGTTTTCCCATCACCTTCCACAGAGACTGGGTGCCCCCAGGCAGCGTCCCCCTTCCCCTCCATCCCACCCCGAGTCTGAGCCCCCTTGGGACCTGTGGGGACATCCCAACTTTGGGGAGTGACTGTCTGGGGTCCCTTCACTCCCTTAGGGTCCTTGATGAGACAGGAGGAACCAAGACAGGGCAGAGCTGTGTCCTGAGTCCCAGAAGGTCCCCAAACTCCATCCCTCCTCTGAGCTGCCAGGGTGTCGAGGCTGCTGGGACTGTTGTTTTTTTTTTTTAGCCACCTGCCAGCACTCACTGTCCTCTTGTCTTTTCCTGCAGATGTTCCCTCTACCTGTGGCCAATGGGAAGGGCCGGCCTGCCACCCTCGCCGGCAGCCAGTTTGCAAGCTCAGGTAGGATCTGCACGTTGAGCGAAAAGACAAAGGTGCGGGTAGGATGTGGATGGGATACAGAACCCAAGCCCCCTGAGCTAGCGGCCAGGTGCCAAAGGAGGCAGGTGTTGGCAGGTGCTGCAATTGGTCACATGCACTTGGGAATGAGATCCATCAAGCTTCAGAGGATGCCAAGATGGGCCAGTCTTTTTTTTTTTTTTTTTTTTTGTGATTTGGGTGAAAATGTACAGAGCAAATTTGCTTTCTGTACCGTAGTTGACATGCACTTTGCCTCATGACATTGACTATAATTTCCCACAATGCAACAGCTCCCCTCCCACTTCCTCCCAATAGTCACCTCTTCCTTGTGTCCATCCCTCCATGCACTCCTGTCCCCTGAGCTGTCTCCCTGTGCATAAGCAGCCCTTCTTTCTCCCATGATTGTTCTCTCCAAGGAGTGTATCTACGTGAGGTAAATGTTCAACTCATATGCCTGTATTTTGTTTGGCTGGAAGCTACAGGTGTGGATTCAATTCCCGACCTGAAGGGCAGCTAGGGGCTATAGTCTCAGTGGTTCCACCATGCTCTATTGGACCAGCAAACCTGGTCCCCCCAAAAAGGATTTTGAGTTTTGTTCCACATTGTTCTTTCTCTCTATCCAGGATCTCCTACATAGATCCCCTTCCAAGTGGTTGACAGTGGTAGCCGGGCACCATCTAGTTCTTCTCTCATAGTCGTATAGGCTGAGGATCACATGGTGTACCAGTCGCTTGGACCGATTGTTTCCATGAATCTTTGGTTTTCTTCATTTTTCTTTGCTCAGGACGAGGAGAGACCAAGATGGGCCACTCTTAATGTCACTACCACTGTGGCAAAAGCCACTGCCCTTTGGGCTGCAGAGAGTACCTGGCAGTCAGCCCAGCAGATGACGTAGGCACCTCGCCTGTCTTGTGCCAAGGGGGCTGTGGGGTCTGGTTCTCAGGCTTGGGGCTGTCTTAGGATCCTGGTCCCGAGACAGAGTGCTCCCACGAGAAAGGCCAGCGTGACGGGAGCCTTTGAGCCCCTCTGGCCCTAGGGAAGTCCTGGCTTCAAGGCCCCTGGGTGTCCATTCCATCCCACCGAGGGAAACTGATACCAGCGGGGTATGAGATGGGACCCCATCCTGTAAGCTCTTGGTCAGGCCTAACTTCCCTGGGTATTCTCGTTTGAGTACGTATTAGGCACTTACTGTGTACAGGGACTGGCTGTAGGCTGGCCACCTGTCTGTGTCACCCTGACGCTGAAGGGCTTCCTGGGACATGGGATTTGGAGTGCTAATACTGGGGTATCCTGGGCAAACCAGGACCAGGAGGTCACCCCAGCCAGACGTGAGTGCCAGCGCAGTAGCAGGTAGGTGAGGAGAGACAGCAGGACAAGGACCGGAAAGTGACACGTAGGACAGCGGTGCTGCTTGTATGGGCTCTAGTGGGATCAGGTGGCCACGGGGGGGGCAGGGGGCCCTGAGGAGGGGGTACTTGAGCAGAGCCCTGGAGGAGGGAGTGAGCCGGGTGAGCATGAGGGAGCTCTGCGGGCTGGTCCAGCCAAGCTAAGGTCCTGGGGCAGGACTGGGCCTGGTGAGTTGCAGAAACAGGAAGGAGGCCTGAGTGGTCGGAGTGGAGGACTGGAGGGCAGGGAGAGACAGGCAGGCCAGGCAGGGTCCCGTGGGCCACAGCTAGAGGTCTGTCTTTTCCACAGGCAGTGGGGAGCCATGGAGGATTGTGGACAGAGGCAGGAGGAGGTTGGACGTGCTTATTGGGAAGCCCTGGGGCAGCTGGCCAGGAGCTCTGGTGGTGTACTGGATAAGGTATTTGGCTGCTTACCAGGTCAGTGGTTCAAACCCACCAGCTGCTCCATGGAAGGAAAACGAGGCAATCTACTTCCGTAAAGATTTACAGCCTCAGGGAATGGTTAGCTATGAGTCGGGAACAACTCGATGGCAGTGAGTTTTTTTTTGTTTTGTTCTCTGGCTACTGGCAGAATTTGAGGGGAGCCAGTGTCCCTGGGTCACTGGTGGTACGAGGGTGGAATTCCTGTCTCCTCTTCTGGAGATGGGGGTTCGGTTCCTGGCCGGTGCGTCTCCGCCCCCGTCCGTCTGTCTGCGGGGGCTGTGTGTGGCCATGATGCGCAACAGGGCTTAGTGGGGCTTCCAGAGTAAGAAAGACCAGGAGGAAAGGCCTGGTGACCTTCTAGACACCAGCCACGCAAACCCCCAGATGCCGGTGGTCCAACCTGCAGCCGGTTGCGGCGACCGTGTGCTGTCAGGCAGCGCTTCGTGACGTCGCATACGCGGTCGCTGTGGGTTGGGGCTGACTGCATGGCAGGTCACAACAGCAGTGTCCCAGGGAGCCGTAAGTGGCCAGGCAGGTGTGTTCTGCCTCCTGTCTAGAGTCCGGCCCTCCCAGGCTCGTGGCTTCAGACTCTTTTCTGAGGTCTCAGAACTGGGCCCCCGGGCTGTATCTTGCTGCACTTCTGGGCTGCCACCGTCTTCAAGATCCCTGGGGTATCTTGTGAAGAGGAAGAAGTGTCCCGAGTGCAGAGAGGAGGTGGTTTGCACAGTGGCCCATGGTTTGCTCGGCCTCCTTGTCCCTGAGGAAGTGGCCGCAGGGCTGCCGGAGTCTCGCCCGGCGTGGAAATCCCCGAGGGCACCGACCTCCTGCTGGTGACACTTCCATGCCGGGGGAGGAGAGGACCCGGCCTGGCCTGGAGACAGTCAACGACACCCACCCTGGTCGCGGCCGCCACACCTGGCCTGGCGCTGGGAGGGGTCTTCACTCACCCGCTTGCCCGCCCAGCCCTTCCGCGGACCCACTGTGTGAAGGGGTTTCCCCCAGCGGCCCTGTCTGATCTGGCCTCTCCCTGGACACAAGGTCTGTACGTGTGAATTTCCCATGGCTTACGCAGCCTCCGGCGGGCGGGGGGGCATGCCCTCCGTCAACCCCTGGCATCTGGGCACAGTGGTCCAGGACCCCAGAGAAGCACATTTGTCGCATTTCTTGCCTGTGGCTGTTTGGTGGGTGGGATGGGGCTGGCTCTGACCTGGGGAGCCCGCTCAGGTGGACACATAGCAGGGCCTCCTGCAGGTTCAGTCCAAACGGTTTTGGCCGGGCCTGAACCGCCCGGTGGGGAGCTGTGGGGAGCTGGGGAGCCTGGGGCCCCCACCCCCGTGCCGTGATGCTGGAGCCTCAGTTTCTTCACCTGCACAGCTGGCGTCTTCCCCTCGGCGCGAGCAGAGGCTGCAGAGCACTTCACCAGCTGTGCGTTGGGGGCGTGTCACACGAGGGCCTCCAGGGGACCAGCCCGTGGGGGGGTGCCCAGCCAGCGTTCCCTCCCTGCGGCTGCCTCCTCGGAGCAGGGACCTCAGGAAGAGGCGGAGTTGCCGTCCCATCAGCCGGCCACCCTGGGGTTCGTCTCACCTGGGTCAGAGCAGACCCTGAGCACGTGGCTGAGAGTGCGCCCTTCCTCCCCTCAGGGTCTGCATCACCTTCCAGAGCCCGTGTGCTCTGCCCACCGCCCTCGGCCCCGACCCCCCCCCCCCCCCGCTGCCAGTTGCCAGGTGTCAGCCCTGTTCAAGTGACCCCTCGTGTGCCAGTGCAGAGGCAAGCTCCACAGGGCTTTCATGGTTTGGATTTTTATGAAGAGGTTGCCAGGCCTGCCTTCCGCAGCACCTCAGTGGGCTCAGACCTTTCACCTCGCGGTGGGGAGCTGAGTTCTTTAGCGTGCGTCGTCAGGGACTCCACCCCATTCTCCACGTTGCTCGTGACAACTCGCTGCTTGTAAGTGTATCTGGAAAGGAAGCTAGAGCTGGATGACTCGTGGCCAGGACAGGACTGTAAGGCATCTGAAAAGCAGCCTGGCAGACGCGGCGCAGCATGTGCAGGGCTGATGGGATCGGTGGCCGCTCTGCCCGGTCGCTGTCTGTTGGAAGGAAACCAAAAACATTGACGTTAAGAGAGGTGTGAAAGACGAGCCAACAGGAGGCAGAGACGTCCGTGTGACCCGGATTGGAGATTTGGTCACAGACGATAGTTTTCCCTCCTTTTGGGAAGCCGTCAGTGACAGACACGTGAGGCCACCAGAGACACCAGGAAGTGCTTCTTGATGGGCCAGGGGACGTGTTTTGCCTGTTCTCAGTCTTTCCCTGGCTTTCTGTGTTTGTGTCCCTGGAAATGGGGCCCATACTTGGAGGGGTCGTCAGATGCGTGGCAAGGCCCTTCTGTGGCCTGTTTGGTCAACGATGGTTCCTTAGGCTGAGTTTCTGGAGTCGACCTGCTGGGTCTGTGCCTGTGTTGTCACCTGGAAGATGCCCTCAGGTTTCCAGAGGCTCTGCACGAGAGCAGCCTCATCAACTCCCCTCCCGGGCGGCTCGGGGCTTCCCTGACGTTGGCTGGCATGGGCTACTTTGAAGGGTGACCGGGAACCTGCTGCTTCCGTGTGCACGTGTTCCAGGAGGGCTGGGAGGGGAACTTCTCAAGACTGGCTCAGTCCCATGCCATTTGTGTTCTTAGATTTATCTGGTGGTTGAGAGTGTACCCAGTGGGACACGGGCAGTTCTGTCGTTGCTCTGCCCACGTCAGTGACCCTGCTGGCGTCCTTCCAGCTGTGCAGCCGGTCCCGCCCTCCCTTCTGAGCTGCTCCTCCCATGAGGATGGAGCCTGTGCCCCTCAACTTCCTGTCTGACCTTTCAAGTTGATGTTGTCAGTTTGATCCCCTAGAGACAGATCTTAAAGTACCACAGTGCTCACGGCGTATCAGTTCTTCTTTGATAAGCTTTGACCTTGTTTTGAGGGCTTGGTCAACTTCTTATTTTTGGCTAATTCCTTATTTTTAAGTCAGATATCAGGAAGGTGTGAGTGTCCTTGGGGGTCCTGTTGACCCTCATCTGGCTCCTGCCAGCGGTGACACCTGGTGTAACTGTTGTATGACATCACTACCAGAAAGGAGATGCCAGAGCGAGCCACAGTTTGTTTGGGCTTCACTGGTTC